GGCGCCGGGCCCGGCGGGCCCCGCGAGCAGGCGGCGGCCCTGACCCGGGATTTCCTGTCGCAGCCGCGCCTCAGTGAGTGCGGGGGCACCGGGACACCGCGTGGGTACAGGGGAAGGGGCCCCTCGGCGGCCGCGCACAGCCCGGGCCGCAGCCTTGCGCCCCTCAGGCCGCTGCCCGCGGCAGGACCGGCCGGGCCCGTACCCTTCAGGGCGGTCCAGGGGTTCCCTGAGCCTTCCCGGAGGGCGGCGGGCCGGGGTCTGGCTGCGGTGGGGATGTTAATCGGTGTTAATTAATCCCCGCGGCCGGCCGGAGGTCCTGCCCCAAACCGGGCTCCTGGGGAGCATGGGCCGCTCCCGGCCCTTCCCGGGAACCCGGCGCTGACAGCAGGGACGGGAAGTGGCTGTGGATGGTGCGGGCGCGTCGGGGCTGCTCCTTCAACGCTGGGTTGAGAAATCTGCTGAAAAAAAGGGGAAATGCGGAAACCTCGTGAAAATCCCTCCGTGGCGGGGCTGTGGAAGGGGGTGTTTTTCCTGGCAGTGACTCTGAGTGGCACCAGGACCTGCAGGGGGGTGCCCGGGAGCTCCTCGGTGATGGATCCCCTGGAAAAGTCACTCAGGTGGGGAAGCCAAAGGGATCGTTGCGATTCCAGCCTCCCCCAAGGCTCTGGAGGCTCCTGTCCAGGTTGGAGCAAAGGTGACTCCATGTCCAGTCCAGGTGTATTCTGGCCTTGGCCTGAGCTGACATCCAGCAGGGTGTGAAGAAGATTCCAGGTTGCTTTTGGTTCTTCGTGGAACTGGTTGCTCAGGATGGAAAGGGGAATTTCCAGCGGGGATTGAGCTGCTTTCCTGGGGGGTTGGTGCTGGGTGGTCCTGCTGGGTGCCAGGGCTGTGTTTCCTCGTGGGCAGAGCAGGGGGGTGAGGGGCGGATTGAGGAAGGAGAGCTCATGAGGCAGTCACGGGATGAAATGCTCCACTCAGGGTCATGTTTTCCACGCCTTGTGGGCTGCAAAGCCTGGGAGTGTGAGCAGAGCCCTCCTGGATGGTGTCTGGGTGGTGCCTCCCTGCTCAGGTGGCAGGAGCAACTCAGCTGCTGCTTCTCATTAAGATAATTAAGGGGCAGGTGTTCTGTCTCAGGATGCTCAGGAGGATTTTTAGGATTAAAAGTGAGGAACTGGAGTTCAATCCCTGGCGCAGCTCCCTGCCCTGAGCTCCCCTCTGTTTGATTTTTGCACGTTAAGATGTTACATTGCAACAGTTCAGGGTGTTTATTGCAGTGTAAACAGCGCTGTGTTGATGGTGCACACACGGCCTGGGGAGCTGCCAGGCTGGGGAGGCCCTGGATGCTTCCCTGGAGCTGCTGGAATCTGTGATCCTGCTGCTGGCTCCAGTGGCTCACTTCCCTCTCCCTCCTGGAGTGAGGAACCGTCACACTTGTGGTCACTGCACCTCGTGACCCTCACAGAGCTTTGACTCAACATTTCTTGTCCCTGTGGGTCAGGTGGTGCTGGGCTCCAGCTGGATCCTGGGGGGTTTGTATCCCTGGATCCTGGGGGGTTTCTATCCGTGGATCCTGGGGGGTTTCTATCCGTGGATCCTGGGGGGTTTCTATCCGTGGATCCTGGGGGGTTTCTATCCGTGGATCCTGGGGGGTTTCTATCCGTGGATCCTGGGGGGTTTCTATCCGTGGATCCTGGGGGGTTTCTATCCCTGGATCCTGGGGAGTGCATCCCTGGAACAGGGCTTGCTGCCTTTTCACAGCTTTTCCCCTGGGCTCTGCAAAATCATGGAATATCCTCAGCTGGAAGGGACCTCAAAGCCCATCCAGTCCCACCCCCTGTGTGCTCCAGCCTCATTTCATCCCTGGATGTAGATTTTGTGGTGAATTTCTATGGTGGACAAAAACCCAGCAGGATTTTAAGGTCACCTCGGGGTGGGTGGGCTTTGCAGGGAGCAGCAAGAAATGCTGGACACACAATTCTGTACCTAATCCTCCATTACAAACATAGAAATGGGGCCCCAGATCTGCAAACCTGAGCCTGGTGATAAGCATGGAACTGGGAAAATGTTTCCAAGGAAGCCCCTGACTTGTGGCTTTGTTTTTTTTTTTTTTCCAGCCTATAAAACTGTCTCGGGTGTGAACGGCCCCCTGGTTATCTTGGATCAAGTCAAGGTAAAAACTCGGATCTTAAGGGAGCTTTTTAAGGGAGAATTTACCAGGAAAGGTGGGACAGGTTAAGTGCAGACTGTTGGGCGACTCTTTGGTCCTCAGAGCAATTTTAATCCGTTTCTGGCTGCTGAGGATGTGGCTCTGAGGCTGAGGAGGAGAGTCCTTGAGGCTGCTGGGGGAAGAAAGGCAACAGTGTTTTACCAGCACCCCCAGAGTGTTGTTTTAAACTTTTAACACTGAAATCCACCTGTTTGCTTTGCTCCTGACCTTTCTGTTTCCAAATGAGTGCTCTGTGGAAGGAAGCTCTGAACGCTTCTGGCTTGTTCTCAAGTGGCTGTTGAAGGCAAAGGACTGTGGGATTTTGATGTTTTGCTCCCCCCTCAGTTCCCCAGGTACGCAGAGATCGTCCACCTGACTCTCCCCGATGGCACAAGGAGGAGTGGGCAGGTCCTGGAAGTCAGTGGCTCCAAAGCTGTGGTTCAGGTATCAACAGGAGTCTCCCTTGTTGCATATTTTATTAATATTTTTCTAATCAGGGCGTGGCTGAGCCAAATCAGATCTGTCCTGAGATCTGTTCTTTTGGCACTGGAAATTAAAAAGAAATAAATCACCTACTTATTCCAAGTGCCAGTGGCATGAGTAACTTGAAAAGATTGCAACCTGGAGTGCAGGGACATTTTTACTTGTAACCTCCATGGATTTCTCGGCTGCTGGATTAAAGGAATCCACTCAAATTTACACTGCTAGGTTCAGGATCAGCCCCTCTGCTGTGGCTGCTGTTTTTCTTCTAAAAAGCCGTTTCTTGTTAATATTCTTCTTATCTGAAGAACTTTACCCTGCTGGCAAAGGGAAACGCTTGAGATCAAAGGAGTGGCACCAACTTTGTTGATGTAATTCATGAATTTTGTTAAAAGTAGGTGTGTTTTTTTTGATGTTTTGAAGCTGCTCTTGCAGCCCTTTGCAGGGCAGGGTCTCCCTGGGGCTCCTGGAGTGCTCCAGCTGGGAGGCAGCACTCAGGTGTTATTTTGTGAAGAAGCACAGTACCCTCTCCCCGTGGTTTTAATTTCTTTTTTTTTTTTTTTCTGCCATATTTGCAGGTGTTTGAAGGCACTTCAGGGATTGATGCCAAGAAAACCTCCTGTGAGTTCACCGGGGACATCCTGCGAACCCCGGTCTCGGAGGACATGCTTGGTGAGGGCACTTTGCTTTGAGGGGCGGACAGATCCATCCCATGGGAACTTATTTTTACAGTAACTCACATTTTTATTGCTGTTTCTTACAGGCAGAGTGTTCAATGGATCAGGAAAACCTATAGACAGAGGCCCCATTGTCTTGGCTGAAGATTTCCTGGACATTATGGGTATGTTCTGTGCTCTTAATCCATTTCTGGTGGGGAGTTAGAGACAAATCTGGTGTTTCTGTTTTCTGAATGTTAACAGTAGAGTTGGGTTAGAACACAGGTTATAACTTAGGAGGAGCTTAATCTTATTTTTGATTGTGTCTGGCATCAAACTCAAATCAAGTAGCACAAGTGCAGGAGGACGAGGTAGCAGAAAAGAGCTGTTCTCTGCAATGCTTGGAGGCTGTTCTTTGTTATTTGTAGACTCTTAATTGTACAACCTCATGATTAACTGGTAACTGGCAGGGTTTTCTGTAAATCATTCTTATCAGTGACATGACCTCCAGAATTCCAGAAACCTCAGGTGTGACCAGGTGCATGGATAGATTTGTTGGCCTCCCAGTGAGGGTGGGTCCCCCTTGATCAGCTGTTTCATAAAGCTTCAAACGTGTACAAGGAATAACATGTCCTCTTAAAACACACAACAGGCCAGCCCATCAACCCCCAGTGTCGTATCTACCCGGAGGAAATGATCCAGACTGGAATTTCAGCCATAGATGGCATGAACAGCATTGCCAGGGGCCAGAAAATCCCCATCTTCTCAGCTGCTGGGCTGCCCCACAACGAGGTGAGGGCTCAGAGCCTCTCTGGGGTGTTTGCTTGTGCTTGACTGGGGTTAAAAGTCAATGACATGGAGTTCTGGGCTGTGCAGCAGCAGCAGCAGATAATGAAGGCTGAGATGTTTTCTCCCCAGATCGCAGCTCAGATCTGTCGCCAGGCTGGCTTGGTGAAAAAATCCAAAGATGTGATGGACTACAGCGAGGAGAACTTTGCCATCGTGTTTGCTGCTATGGGGGTGAGTCCTGGGAGCAACACTTTGTCAGGATAAAGTGTCTTAAACTTGATCTCCAGCCTGGAATTCTGGATGTTACTCGCTCTGGGAATGTAAAGGAGCCTCTGTGGTGGAGAGGCCTTGTGATTAGTGAGGTGCTCAGGCCTTAATGTGATGCAAAATGCCCTGAGCTGGAATGTGGAAGTGATTCCCCCCCTGCTTTGGTTCAGGTGAACATGGAAACCGCTCGGTTCTTCAAATCAGACTTCGAGGAGAACGGGTCCATGGACAACGTGTGCCTGTTCCTGAACCTGGCCAACGACCCCACGTGAGTACTGGCAACCCTGTTGGGTGGGAAGAGGCTGGTGAGAACAAGCCCCACAGGGAGCTGGAGCAGGTCTTTGAGCTGTTTGTAGCTCCCAAACTGTCTCTTGCCGTCCCCAAATCACAACTTACACCACGTCCTGTCGCAGCATCGAGCGCATCATCACCCCCCGGCTGGCCCTGACCACGGCAGAGTTCCTGGCCTACCAGTGTGAGAAGCACGTGCTGGTCATCCTGACAGACATGAGCTCCTATGCTGAGGCCCTGCGGGAGGTAGGTGGGCGTCAGGGTGTTAATTACCGTGCCGATTAACGAACTGGGGTTTGTGGTGGAAAGGGAGAACCCAGGCTCTTGCTTGGGCTGGTGCAGTTAATGTTCACTGGAGTGCTCTTTAACAGCCATGGAGGCTTTTGGTGAATGCATGAATTAGCAGTTCGATACCATCATTTTGGATGTCCTTGGCATCTTGCCATGCACGTTTTGGTGATGTGGAGGGGTGGTCTGTGTGGCTGCATTTTGCAGGAAGAGATGCTTTAAGTGACTGGTGCAGCTAAATCTGGGGAGGCAGCGGCTCCAGAGGGGGTGACCTGCCCTCCTGGAAACATTCCTGTGGCGTTTCCCAGGTGTCAGCAGCCCGGGAGGAGGTTCCTGGGCGCCGTGGCTTCCCGGGCTACATGTACACCGACCTGGCCACCATCTACGAGCGCGCCGGGCGCGTGGAGGGCAGGAACGGCTCCATCACCCAGATCCCCATCCTCACCATGCCCAACGACGGTGAGTGAGCTGCACTAGAGCAACGTGCTGCCCTTCAGCCTTCCTCTGGAACTCTGCTGGTTTCTCTCTCAGGCTTGGTGCTCACAGCCCTAACAGCCAAAAGCTGCTGTGTCGGTGCTAAAATGGGTATAAAAGGGCTGAAAACTGTCAAACCACTTTTTTTTTTTTTTTCCCCCCATAGATATTACTCATCCTATCCCTGACCTGACTGGGTACATCACTGAGGGACAGATCTATGTGGACAGGCAGCTGCACAACAGACAGGTGTGTGCTGCAATACTTAGGATGTATTCAAGATTACTCAGTGTTTGTTTTTTTTTTTTTTTTAAGTATTCCTGTTAACTGTTGGATGTTTCTCCCCCAGATTTACCCACCCATTAACGTCCTGCCCTCCTTGTCTCGACTGATGAAGTCGGCAATTGGGGAGGGAATGACCAGGAAGGATCATGCAGATGTGTCCAACCAGCTGGTGGGTACAAACCTCCCTGGGGGAGCAGAGATCCAGAACATCCCTGAGGCTGCTTTAAGGGTGTTTAGTGAGACCCTTGGAGTGGGAACAGAGATTATGTGGATGATGGGCTGTGAGGATGATCGGAGGGATGGAACCTCTGCTGTGAGGGAAGGCTGGGAGAGCTGGGGGCGTTCACTTGGAGAAGGGAAGGCTCCAAGGATTCCAGTGCCTAAGGGGGCTCCAGGAATGCTGGAGAGGGACTTGGGACGGGATGAGGGGGGGAATGGCTTCCCACTGACAGAGGGCAGAGTTAGGTAGGATTTGGGGAAGGAGTTCCTCTCTGTGAGAGTGGGGAGGGGCTGGGATGGAATTCCCAGAGAAGCTGTGGCTGCCCCATCCCTGGGAGTGTCCAAGGCCAGCTTGGAGCAACCTGGGCTAGGGGAAGGTGTCCCTGCCCATGGCAGGGGTGGGGCTGGGTGGTGTCCAGACCCCTCTGGCTCACTCCCTGACTCCCTGTCCCACCCCAGTACGCCTGCTACGCCATCGGGAAGGACGTGCAGGCCATGAAGGCGGTGGTTGGGGAGGAAGCTCTCACCTCAGATGACCTGCTGTACCTGGAGTTCCTGCAGAAGTTCGAGAAGAACTTCATCGCTCAGGGTGAGTGTCCCAGCATATCCCAGTGGGTATCAGCACCTGGGGGGCTCCTTCCCTGCCCCCTCATTCCCTGGGTGGGGGCTGTTCCCGCAGGTCCCTACGAGAACCGCACGGTGTACGAGACCCTGGACATCGGCTGGCAGCTCCTGCGGATCTTCCCCAAGGAGATGCTCAAGAGAATCCCCCAGAGCACCCTGGCAGAGTTCTACCCCCGGGATTCCACTGCAAAGCACTAACCCAGCTGCCTCCCCCACCTTGCCCCCTGCTCTGTGAGGTGCTGGTTTGGTTTCCGTTCCCACGTGTTGGTGTTCGCTCGTCGCCCTTAGGATTCACACCGGGAGTAGGTGACGCTCGTGCCACTGTTCCCGTGTCCACCGAGACCAGTCTTTAAAATATCCCTTCTCCCAGGAGGACACTTAGGCCAGCTCTTACAGATTGTGCAATAGCCACCACGAGGTTTGGTTTTTTCCTAGAGCTGAACCTTTCTGTAGGCAATTTCAAGGGAGTTGTCCGAGGATTACCAGGAACTGCAGATCTTTGCTTGCAAACTGTGGTTTAGGGAACACGAAAAGAGCGAATGTGACTTGCATGACAACGTTCCTCTCTGGAAAATGCAGGTTTTTTTGAACCATGGCTTAAGATTCTGAAAGGTTTGTGTGAAATGAGGCCACGAGGAGGCAACGCTGGGGGGGCTTTTCCACCAGCAAAGGGTCTTTCAGGGGACACAGGCCAGTGAGTTGCTACCTGAAAGTAGCATAATTACTGAATTAAAGGTTTTAAATTGAAGCTTGCAGACTAAGTTTCCTACTTAACCCTTTCTTCTTTGGATTCTGGAAATGCCAGGGACACAAACCAGCAGAACAAGTGATTCTGAGCTCAGAAGCGTCACCACAACTGCTGGTAGTTCAAGGCTTTGTGGTGCTGCTGAAGGGGATCCTGAGGTGTGAGAAAAACCCACCTGTCACAAGTGGGAGCTCTTACAGAATGTCCTGCACTAAATGATGCAACAGGAGGAGAAAAAAAAAAAAAAAAAAAAAGCTTTTAGTGTCAGAAAGGATATTTTGAATCCTGCTCTGGGTGTGCTGGGCCCGTGCTGTGTCTGAAGCTGTTGTGGTTTGCACTCCAGGCACGGACTTGCCTGGCCCTGAGCTCAGCATTCCCAAGCACTGCAATCCTGGCCAGGCAGTTCCGTGCTGTTCTCTTTCCAGCGGGTTCAGACGAGGCTCCAGGCCCCGCTGCTGGCAAACTTCCACGCTTTCTTCCCAGGCTTCCCGCAGTCTGAGCTCTGCTCTGGCTCACCAAGGCGTGTTGCACCTCTCTGAACGCCTTCAGTGCCCGTCTGGGGAGGTGTGAACATGCTAATTCCAGCTCCCTGACGTCTCCCATGTGTGCAGTTCCCCCTAGCTGTGTGTTCTCTGTGACTGCAGGAGCGACTCAATCCCGGTGCATTCCGCCCAAAGCTGTGTCAAGTCTCTCTTGTTTGTTTGTTTGTTTTTTTTTCCTTGAGGTCAGGATGGGAGGTTGGAAGCGTTGGCATGAAAATACTTTAATGTAGAGGATATATCTAAATAAATTAAATATGGAAGGTGTTGAATGAAATGGAGGCTCCTGTGGTTCTGTGGGGGTTCAGCAGGGGCTGGGATGGCCCTTGGGAAGGGGAGGAGGAGGATTTGACCTTCAGCCTCAGGCCCCCAGTGCTGTGTGGGGCTGGGGCAGTCACGGGGAAAGGCTTTGCAGGAATGTGCAGGGAATGTGATAGCTCCGTTCCCACATCCATCTCCAGGGGTAGTTTGTGCTTGAGGAGGCTTGGGAACATTAAACTGCTTGAAAATGAGCTATGGGCATAGGGTTGCTTTGGGTTTTGGGGGTGAGCAGCACTGGGAGGGGGGTTAGTCAGGTGTTCCTGCAGCCAGGCCGGTTCAGTTCCAGTGCTAGTCCCTCTGTGAATTCCCAGAATGGTTTGGGTGGGAAGGAACCTTAAAGATCATCTCACATTTCACTCCCCTACCATGGGCAGGGACACCTTCCACTAGAGCAGGGACTGCTTGGGACAAGTCTTTTTGGCTTTTTTACTCATTTTCCCCTTCAGTGACAGTCTCTGTGCTTAGGGCTGGGATTAACCCATGAACGGGGCCTCAGTGACAGCTTCTGCAAACTGAGCCAGAGGAGAAATCCCAAAGTCCAACGAATTCCTGAGATCCCCCAGCAGGTGACAGAGCTTGGGGACAAAGGTTGAACAAGCATTCCCAAGGTGGGGGGGTGGGGTGAGCAGGAAGCTGGGATGCCTGCAGGATTCTGCGTGGATAACAGGGCTCCTGGAGTGTGTGTGTGTGTGTGTGTCACAGAGCAAAGGGAATCCCGCGTGGATAAAAACATCCCCAGCACTGCCCTGAGCTGGGGTGCCAAAGGAACAGCCCGACCCTTCCCGGCAGGAGCCAGCAGGTACCAGGCTCGGGCGGAGGATGGAAGGGCCGTGCCGCTCTCCCAGCTGCCGCCTCGCTGCATTTACCATTTACGCGCTGTTCGCGCTATTTTTATTCCTTTTTTTTGTTTGTTTTTTTGGGTTTTTTTAATTCCATAATGACTAATGAGGGCTGCCCGGGGGGCTTATCCCCCCCTCTGCCGCAGGAGCACACGCCAGCTGTCAGCCCATTGAGGAGCGGAGGGAGGGGGCGAAGCCCGGGCAGCCCCCCCTGCCCCCGGGGCTCCGGTCGGGGTGGCAGATGCAGGGCCGGCGAACAGGCTGGTGGGCAGAGCGGCCGCGGGGTTATTTGCACATCAAAAGCAGCTTCGCCTCCGAGCACGAGGTGCCGGGGTTTAATTGCTCTTTCAAAGCCAACCCCGGGCCCGGCGCTGCTGAGATTTCAGCTCTGACTCTGCCCCCCCAGCGAAGCCAGACACTGGTGCGGTGGCACCGGGGCGTTTTAAGAAGATGCAGATCAGCTTTTCTCCGTCTTGAGGCTCATTTGCATCCGCTGATTAGTGCAACAATTCACGCTCCTTCTGTGCGCGGGCGGTTGGCGCTCGGGCAGCTGGAGCTGAGCTCGCCCAAGGCACGGGGGGAGATGCCCGAGCTGAGCTGCTTCTCCTGTTTGCCCCCCAAAACTGGAGCCAACCTTGCCCCTCAGGTGCTTCCTCAGCCCCCGCACGCTCTGATGGCATCGCGGTCCCGTGCAACCTGAGTATCCCGCGGGAATGGCTTTTTCCCTGGGATTAGCAGGGCTTGCTGCTCCTTCCTGGCCGTGAATCCTTGACCAGGATTACAGGGAGCAGCCCGAGCCGGGGCTGATCTTCAGCACAAGGTGCCTCTCAGGAGACAGAGCCTTTACACGTGGTTTTCTGTCTTCTTCCTCCCTCAGCAGCTTTCAAAGGCTCTAAAAATAAACTTCCCTCCCGCCCGGAGCGGTGTGAGCACAGCCAAGGTTTCCCTGGAAAGCGCAGTGGGTGCCAGGTGGGTGCCCTTTTGGGGGGCACAGAGCAGCCTGGGGGTGGCTCAGCCCCCTCACCCTGCCCTGAGATGGGGGGAGTGCCCCGTGGATAAGTCAGGATGAGCAGAGTTTTCTGTAATTTTAGTGTTTTCCCCGTTTTCTGCTCCTCAACCTCCCCCTTTGCTCCCCGCCCCTCCGTGCTCTGGGTTGGGTTGGTTTGGAGGAGAGAAAACAGCTCAGATAGTCCAAATATGACCTTGGGTTTGTTGAGGCGGTCACACTTCACCTCTTCCTTTGGGAATTGTTTCCTCTGGATCTCCTCTGGACGTGGGGGGTGGGTTGGGCACCCCTGGCACTGGGGAGGGGGGCTTGGTCAGGATGAAAATCAGCCTCACCTGCAGAGCAGGAGGGTGAAGCTGGAGGGGGCAAGGCCAGGGGGATTATCCCCCCCTCTCCAATCCCTCCCTGTCTGCCAGAGACACGTTTTTCCATGCTTGGGTTATCCCAGCTGCAGAGCGCAGATAACAGGCCTGGGGACAACAGGGCCAGGTGGAGGGATGTCCCCAAAGGGGACCTTGGGGGGCTGTGATAGATGAGGGGGAGGGGGTGAGGAGGCCAAAGAAGTTTTACAAAATTTTATTTATAAATAAAAACATAAAATTACCAGTAGTTTACATCAGTCACCAGAAATAACATCCAAAAAAAAAAAAAAAAAAAAAA